ATAAATCTCTAAAGCTTTGCCTTAGCTTTTCAACAAAAGTTTGAATGAATATTCATCAATGCGGCCATAAACAATTTTGAAATTCGCGCGAATAAGTTTTTCTTCTCACATACTAATTTAATGTTTTTTTTTCGAAAGAAATATACGTTTCGTCCCGAAAATATGTTGTCAGTTCTTGTTGGATGCGTGCTGTGTTCCCCAACTAATTTAGGAAGTTTGAAGGTGGCTTGATGAATGATGCGAGGCAGAGAACGGCATTTACTGTTGTCTCACGTAGTAACGAATGATGACTTCTCAAGTTTTCGGAGATGTGAACTAACGAGCTTTGCCATAAAACCACCCTATTACGGTATAATTAGGGATTAGATGAGAAGTGCGTTCCTATATAAACAAAAGCGACGAAGCGAGCAGCATCAATCTTTTCGAGTATTAGCATTTGGGCGAATTCTTCGAGCGAGTCAAATACTAATTAACGCAACTAAGACATAATCGTTTTGTAATACGCCGACTAAGAACAGTTGTACGCGTTGGTGCTTAAAGTCAATCAAACTGACAGTCTGCAAGATTGTACATATTCCTCACCGAACAAGAAAGGGGAAATAAAAATTGAAAGTGACGGTTATTTAATGTGCTTTTCTAATTTAATGTTGTATTCAACTTATCAGATTTCATTCAAAACATTTGTGCGGAAAATGGAGATTACTTCTTTTGCATTTGTCGTGCTTTCTGGTGCTCATTAACTACGGGTTAGGCACGGATGGGTAGAAGTGTATACAGGCTCTATTCATCATTTTACGTTAATTACAAAGCATTTTTTTGTAAATTGCGGAGGAGTTATTCGTAAATACATGTAAAATTATCAACCTAAGCAGCATTTTTAGTGTACTTTATACAGAGTTTGTTCAATCACCAAGTATTTATAGATTCTGGACTGCAAATTTTAGGAAACAAAAATAATGTTGTCGCCTGCAATCTGTACGCAAGCAGTGGCTCCTAGTACCAAACAAAATTCAATTTTGTATCTTTTATTCTTTTTTATCGATTGTTGTCATGTATAGGACATAAAGAGTTGTTTAAACATTAATAATCAATAATTCGAATGACTTTACACTAGCAAAAGCAAAATTTAGTCCACTACGACTGCCTTTACAGTAACAATCTTCAAGGTTTCGTAAATATACTTGCAGTTACAACTCAGGAACAAATATCGGAGGGTAGATCAACGTACTTTATGTGTAGTTAGGTAGGTGGTAATACTAATACCAGCTGTTTGGTAGAATTAAAGGCAGAATTTTCGCAGCCGGTAATGTAGAAACTCATCTATAGCGTCGTTGTTGGCTCGTGAAAATGGCGATAGATCTTCCCAAATGAATTTTTCTTGTGCAATATTGAAAAAATTCATAATTAGGCCGTTCCCACTCAGAAATATCGATGTAGAAGGCATAATTCGACAGTTAATAATGAGGAAAATGGTAAATCAGAATTAAGAAGTTAAGATGATTATTCCAAGTCAAAAGGTATATGCGAAATTGTTGTTAACATACCGTAAACGGCCTTAAAACTTGTAAAATGTATCCGCAAATGCGTCAGCGAAGCATGAAGCAAGGTAATAAGAAATCTATAACACAGAAAATAAAGAACTATAGGTAATGAGAAATGTACTGCAGAAATAATTTACATCTAAACTAGTGGAGTGCAAAGTAAACACCTAGATGACATAAGGATTTAAATCTAAAGTAACAATCGAAGATTACTTAAACGAAATCCAAATAGGAATATCAAACGGTAAGGAAAATAATGTTACAAAAGTTTACGGGTAGACTTGTTATTAATATTAATTTTTGGAAGGGAATCCTTAAATGTGCCGACAACAATTTAAAACGGGGAAGCAGCAGCGTTTTGTACATTTATGAATAATAAGGTATTTTCCAATTAGTCTCATTGTGTTTTTAAGTTATATAGTGTTTTTCTTTGTAACAAACACATACGTTCAAAAAGGATTGCAAGAATTTATCGGAATTTGTTACGATAAGGAATCAGAAAAGCGGTTTATTAAACTGAGAACAAAAATTATGAAAGTCAAGGTACCCAACAAGCTCAGAAGAAAGCACAAGCACTTTTCCTAACCGCATTGTTTTCCTTATCCAAAATGTTCACCCCCAATTTAAAAGTAGATTTACTCATTGTCTGGCACCGCATCTCGATGAGAAGAATTTTTTAAAAGATTAGTAGACTTATTTGGCCTTGAATTTAGTTCCCAATATTGAAGCTAAGGGATTTTATATTTCACCGTGTCTGTAAACATTGGCATGTGCTTGAAAGATTAGGTGTCGTTTCCATTATAAATTTTAGGTTTTGTTTATATTGTATTTGGGCAATGATTATTATGTATCACCCACAAAACACCTGTCCAGCTAGCTCAGAACAAATTAAAATTAAAACTTTCGCTCCTTGCACCGTAAACTAACTAGCTCCTTGTATATACATATCCAGCATCTGCTGTAAAGAAAAATTCTAATATGGGCTTAAATTTCTTAATATTGAGAGACTCGATGGCCTCGATCAACTTCCAAAAATTCCAAAGAATTTATTAAACAATCACTTACAGTTTTTTTTCATCATAATCCGTATAATGTGGTTGTACAAGATATGCTATATAATACGCACTTAACTCACACACGCTAAGAGCGTCTGAACTCCACTCTGCTTTATAGCATAGAAGTAGATGAATAGAAAACTGGCTTGATAAATAAAATTAAAAAAATTTCGGTGGCTGTTCGGACAGTAGAAGCCTTTAACTTTTAACAAAAAGTTACTACACTGCTTCAACTCGAGTCTCGGCATAATTTTATCCGTAATCGGATAACGCGCGTTAAACTTCTCACACAACGTTGGTTAAATTGCTTCTGCACAGATTTATTATTGAAAAAATAACGAACTGCGTCTCCAAAAAAAACAGATAGGGCTGACTACCCGCAATTTAGCGTAAACAGATGAACACGTTTTTTACCGTCGAGAACAGCAATCCTGTTTTCGCTGACTCCAGTATTTAAGGAAACGCCACTTCCACCATAAAACAATCTCCATCTTTATGAATTTTTAAATAAATCGCCAATCACAACGAAATGCGCGAAAACGTCCCCACTTCCGCGGACATGAAACTCCAAACGCGCAATTCTTCGAAAAATTAACCTTATCAGCCCCACAACACATGCATTAATTAAATATTCGTTTATTAGACTCCTTATCGCAAACGACCAGATGTAACCGTTTATGTATTTTACTTCTAACACTATTTAAATTGAATAATTTACAAAATCGATAAAATTTAAACAAGAATTCGCATTTAACAAAATTTCTAGCCACGAATCCGGAATACTTTCTTTCTAGAGAATATCCATGAACTTATTTGTATAAATTCATAATTCGCTCGTGGAATTATAAGATTTTCCCCTTTTGCAGATTTTAGCAACTCTTACTTCAAATTGTGTTTCTCCGGAAATTACCTTACAGATTCTAGCTAGACGGATCTTTATAAATCTCGAAAGGGTCTCTAAGATTTCTAAGATTGTTTGCGGAGGTTTACGGACTCTTGTCTTTAAAACCTTCTTCGCCAAATTTTTAATGGACTTTCACTGATACCTTAGAAAGCTTAGAGACCCTTTCGAGATTTCTAGTGGTCATTCTAAAATATGTGCGATAATTTCGGAAAAATTTTGCATAAACACAATTTGAATTAAATGCCAAAATCCACAAAAAAATGTACAAAAGGAGATTCTTTAAGGGGAAGATCTTCTAGATATTCTCTAGCAAGAAAGTATTCCGGATTCGTGAATAGAAATCTTGTAATAAAATTTGTTTTGAGATTTAATTGTCGTATTACGGTATCCTTAAAATCAAGCAGTATAAAATTTGCATGCGAACCTTGAAAACTGTGAAGAAGCGTCTGTTTACCCAGTAACTCAGAAGTGATAGCCGGATTTAAATTTTGGCCCATTTTGCTAAACGAATAAATTGGAGTTTTCCGTTAAAATTCATGAATGACAAGCATAAAGACATGAAGGATTTTATCCACTAATATGAGAAACACTTAAAATAACGGTTCGGGCCTGTAACGCATGAAATTAACCGAGCCACGTGTCAGAGAGGGAGCGTCGCCTGCAATCAAACTCAAATTAATTATGTATAATTCACCACCCAATAATATAGATGACATAAATTGTGGTTAATGCTTGCTGTGCAATATTTTCGTCGATCGATATTCCGTGTTGCTACATTAGAGACACGGATTGGCAATTGATTCCTATGCGGACGAGTTGTCAAAGTTAAAGAGCTTCCTTTAGAGCTTTTTATCAATCTTTCTAGATGCGTTCATCCAGTCAGAATTTCAAACACATTGTATCCCACACGTGTGATTCTGAATCGTTTTTTTTTGCATGAAAATGGTGAAACCTGCAGAGGTATACGAGGGATTTTGATTTCGTTTTGGCAAAA